ATCCTAATTTCTGTATTGCCTGGAACTCTAAGCATAAGAAAATAAAAACAAAAAGCGCTTTGAAAGCAAAATAGTCTCTGCCTGGACGAACTTCAAAAATGCAAAGTTCAAGAAGCAATAAGTAAGAACGAGCAACAGAAAAATACAATAATAAACCATATATATATATATATATATATATATATATATATATATATATATATATATATATATATATATATATATATCTCGCAACTAAGAGGAAATAAGCTCCGCAGATTTATTTTCAATGATCGAATCTGGCACGTACGTTAGTTGTTTTTGTGGGGACAAGATTTTACGTGGGTGAGGGTTGCGGGACTGCATTGGTGATTTTCAGTGAATAAACTCAATACCACGGAAGACACGCCCGTTCCGTTACAAAAACAACCCATTGAACTTCCTATTTATTGGACTTGTGTACATGTGTTTTGGTTTGTGTGACAAATGTTACACCATATGCTTTCCTTTTTCGTGACTTTTTAACACTCTTATGTATTATTTTATGACAACGTAATTAATATATAATTTCTTTTCCAGTCGTGTTAGTTTGGAGTCTGGGAAAAAGTTTCTGTGCCACCAAGAAAACTAAGAAAACAATAGTGCATATACTGATACTATATTTAACCCCATATTTTTATCTCTCATATTGGCCTATCTTGGTCTTTGAAGATCATTTAATAAAAATGAGTTATTTTTGTCTCATTTTTAATATATCTATTATTTACAAGTCTACCTGATCATTAAAACTATGAAAGTAGTTTTTGTATTAAAAATCAATAAAAGTTCTTGCATATTTTTTTTTATTTATTCTACTAGCCTTGTAAATATATATTATTTACACTGATTAATTATCAAAGGTGAATGGCAAAGGGGAGTACGGTAACTTATCTCAGAATACAAATTAATAGAGCCCTGGCCAGCACCAGAACGCTTGACCAAATGGTCCAGAATATCCCCCCCCCCCCAAAAAAAAAAAAAAAAAAATCTGGTAAAAATACCTTTGCTTATTAAAACTTTTACTCAGCCTCCGAGATGCCCATGAGCAGAGATGATTTTCAAAGAAATAATGCATTTTCACTATAGATTCAACACAGCCCCACCCTAACACCAGAACCCATGACCCAGGGACATAAAATTCACAAATTTGGAAGAGGTATTCTTGCTCAAAATAAGCACATTTTCACTATATTATCAATACCCCCCACCCCACGAAACACCAGAACCCCTCACCCTGGGACCACAAGTTTTAGAAAAATGTTGTAAGAAGCACCTTTACACATCATGACTATGCACTTTGTTTCTTTGCTCAATACCCAGGAGTAGAAAAGATTTATTTAATAGAATTAATGCATTTTCACTATTTAATCAATAGAGCCCTGCTCTAACACCAGAACCCTTGACCCAGGGGCCATGAAATTCCTTTGGAAAAGGCACCCTTGCTCATCATAACTATATACTTGGTTTGTTTGTTTAATAGACAGGAGACACTTTCACTATATAATCAATACCCCCCCCCCCTTTGCAGAACCCCAGACCGTGGAGCCACAAAATTCATAATTTTGAAATAAGAGCTCATGATCATCATAACCATACACTTAATTTATCTGCTAAATACCCAGGAGCTGAGAAGATGATTTTACAAGAATTACTGCATTTCCACTATATAATCAATAGAGCCCTTGCCCCTATCCTAACATCAGAACCCCTGACCCAGGGGCCATGAATTTCACAATTTTGTAGAGGCACCCTTGATCATCATAACTAAATACTTGGTTTATTTGTTTAATATCCAGGAGTAGAGAAGAAGATTTTTAAAGAAATAATGCATTTTCACTATATAATCAATAGAGCCCCCCCCCCCCCCTTTGCTGCAAAACCCCTCATCCTAAGGCAACAAATTTCAAATTTATTTAAGAGGCACCCTTGATCATTATAACCATGCACCTAGTTTATCTGCTTGATATACAGTTGGAGAGAAAAAGATTCTTAAAGAATTTATGTCATTTTCACTTCAGGTCATTTCAGGTGACCTAAAAAAACCGAAGACAGGATTTGCACTGGCAAACTTTAAAAGTGTGATAAGAGGGATAACTCTATTTATGCGCATCAAGAGAAAATTCTTTATTTCTTTGTTTTTTTTATTTTTAGCATTGCAAAGACCGTTGAAGTAATATTGCCAAAATTACATGATCACTTAAAATTCCTTCTTTATGTTAGTCCTGTGTAAAAGTTCCTATTGTGACTTCATCCTAGCCCCAAGGACCAAGGCTTGAACAAACTTTTCTAGTACACTTTTTTCTTCAAAAATCATTGAAATTTTGAATTTACCTCATTTTCTGGATGTCATATTTAACATATGGCACATATAACAGATTTTGATATTTCCCTGATTTAGAACATATTTTATAAATTTCTCCATCAAAGTTAAATTTTGGGGGCAAATATTGGTCAATACAATATCTAGTTCTTTCAATATAGATTCCTTTCTAACAATTACTGTAATGATAGAGAGAGTATTGAAAACAGTGAACAACTTTTCATCTTACTCATCAAGTTGTTTATTACAAGATGCCCATGGGCTTTGACAGTCACATGAATACCATGAGTTTTTCAGCCTATGTCCACTTAAGCCCCATTCAAAACTGGATCTGTGGTCTCATCTGAAACATATCAAAGTTCTGAAAGGCAATCACAATAATATTACACTTGCTGATTCTGAAATTCTGGTTACAATTGGAAAAGCATCAATAAAGTAAGAAAGTCACACTACTTCATCAATCTGAACTAGAAAGAAAACTTACAGTGAGCAGATGGATGAGAAGAGAGCCACAAAAACAAACAATAATAAACAAGATGAGTTTGTGAAACACTGATGCCCCCCGTATGGCAGCTTATGGTGAAGGTTCAAGTTTCTCAAATGCAAGTCAAAATCCAGGCCAAAAGATAAAACATAGGAAATCAGAGATTACAGAGCTCACCTCAACAATTGTTGTCTTTAAGTAAGGCAAAGTCCCACACTAAACTAATAATCTAGTAGTGTGCATCCCTAGATGCAACATTTATGCAATTTTGGTCCCATAGGGCTTGCAGTTACATGGGAATGGACTTATCTAAAAACTTTATACTAGTCACTCGTCCAGAAAATGTAAGTCAAATCCAGCATCTGAAGCAAGTTTAAAAGTGTTCATCCATTGATGCATCATCCATGTAAGTTTGGTTCAGGTAGGCCTTATAGTTTCTTAGAAATGAGATCTGCTCCAAAAACTTTTACCTGGTCACTCATCTGGAAAATGTAGGTCAGATCCAGCATCCCAAGCAAGCCCAGTAGTGTGCATCCTTAGATGTAACATCCATGCAAGTTTGGTCAACATAAGGCTTACAGTTACTTGGAAACAAGATCTGCTCCAAAAATTTTAACCTGGTCACTAATCCAGAAAATATAGGTCAGATCCAGCATTCGAAACAAGTTCAGTAGTGTGCAGCCTTAGGTGCATCATCCATGCAAGTTTGGTCAATATAGGGCTTATAGTTACTTGGAAATGAGATCTGTTCCAAAAACTTTAACCTGATCACTCATCCAGAAAATATAGGTCAGATCCAGCATCTGAAGCAAGTCCAGTAGTGTTCATCCTTAGGTGTATCATCCATGCAAGTTTGGTCAATATAAGGGCTCATAGTTACTTGGAAATGAGATCTGCTCCAAAAACTTTAACCTGCTCACTCATCCGGAAAATGTAGGTCGGATCCAATATATCTGAAGCAAGTCCAGCAGTGTGCAGCCTTAGATATATCATCCATGCAAGTTTGGTCAATATAGGGCTTATAGTTACTTGGAAATGAGATCTGTCCAAAAACTTTAACCTGATCACTCATCCGGAAAATATAGGTCAGATCCAGCATCTGAAGCAAGTCCTGGTTATTCTTTAGCTGAAATTGCAGCATCTGAAACCTTGACTGGTACAATGAAACACACTAGAAGCATCATCCATGCATTTCTGATTAATATAGGGCATAGTACTTGAAAAGAAAACTGCTCCAAAAACTTTAACCTGGAATGCTGATGCCAAGGGTATTACATAAGCTTCCCCAACTTTGTTGAGGTGAGCTGAAAATGTTTGTACCCAAAGAAAGGTCTTGTCTCGAGGAATATACCTGTGAAATTTGAAAGCCTTAGCTGCAACTGTTCGAAAGTTATGGCCAAGGTTAAAGTTTTTTTAAAGTAAGTAAATTGTCAAGGTCAAAGTTGTTGGTATCCAAAGGAAGATCTTGTTACAAGGATTATATGTGTGAAGTATAAAAGCCCTAGTATCAACCATTCAAAAGTTACGGCCAAGGTTAAAGTTTTTCTACGTAGGTCACACTCCTAAGTCAAGGTCAAAGTGGTTCGTATCCAAAGGAAGGTCTTGTCACAAGGATTACATATGTGAAGTATGAAAGCCATAGCACCAACCATTCAAAAGTTATGGCCAAGGTTAAAGTTTTTCAAAAGTAGGTCAAACCCCTATGTCAAGGTCAAAGTGGTTGGTATCCGAATGAAGGTCTTGTCACAAGGATTACATATGTGAAGTATGAAAGCCATAGCTCCAATAAGAAATATATTTATTCAACATTCTTTGTTATGAAAGTATGGCACAAAAAATATGTATAATACTTGTTTTAAATCTTAAAATTCTGATGTTGACCTCTTGGCTTTTATTTATGAATTTTATTACTATGAAAAAATGATTATCAATTTCTTTCAAAATAATGACTGGAAACAGTGTTTTTTTTTTTTTAAATTCAATAAGTACAATTAATATACAAATCTAAAATTATTCAAAATAAAAAAAAAAAAACATATATCAAATTCTGATGGTTAAAAAGTCATATAAACATGTGACTTTACACAATATATAAAACAAATTTAGTACGAGTTAAAATAAAAAAAAAAATCCTGTACAAAAAAAGAAAAAAAAAAATCAAAAAAAAATATCAGCAAATGAAATAGATTTTATTTGAAACTTGAATTAAAAAGGTGGTTTGGTTTTCATCAAATACTCACTATAGATATAATTATAATTATTTGTTTGCATAATCAGATATTCTACTAGAATATTCAATGTTGTAAACAGTGGAAAGTTAATGAAAATATGTCATAAAAAGACCAGCCAGACATAAATACAGTAACCCAGAGTACATGACAACAAACATAGGTAATCAGAGATTACAGAGCTCAGCTCAACAAATGTTGTCTTCAATTAAGGCAAAACCCACATCAAACTAATAATCTAGTAATGTACATCCCAAGATGCAACATTTACACAATTTGATCTGAAAAGGTTTGCAGTTACTTGGGAATGGACTTATCTAACAACTTTAAATGAGTCACTCATCCAGAAAATGTCATTCAAATCCAGCATCTGAAGAAAATTTAAGTGTTCATCCCTTGATGCATCATCCATGCAAGTTTGGTTTAGATAAGCCTTATAGTTAACTTGGTAATGGACCTGTGCCCAAAACTTTCACCTGGTCACTCATCTGGAAAATATAGGTCAGATCCAGCATCTGAAGCAAGTCCTGGTTATTCTTTAGCTGAAATTGCAGCATCTGAAACCTTGACTGGTACAATGAAACACACTAGAAGCATCATCCATGCATTTCTGATTAATGTAGGGCATAGTACTTGAAAAGAAAACTGCTCCAAAAACTTTAACCTGGAATGCTGATGCCAAGGGTATTTGGTTTAGATAGGCCTTATAGTTAACTTGGTAATGGACCTGTGCCCAAAACTTTCACCTGGTCACTCATCTGGAAAATGTAGGTCAAATCCAGCCTCCAGAGCAAGTCAAGTATGTGTATCCTTAAATGAATCATCTATGCATGTTTGTTCAAGGTGTAACAAATAGTTACTGTAGCAAAAACCTGCACTAAAAACTTTAACTTGGTCACTCATCCAGAAAATGTAGGTTAGATCCAGCATCTGAAGCAAGTTTAGTAGTGTGCATTCTTAGACGTATCATACATACAAGTTGATCAATACAGGGCTTATAGTTAATTGGAAATGAGACCTGCACCAAAAACTTTAACCTGGTCACTCATCCGGAAAAAGTAGGTCAGATCTAGCAAGCCTGTTAGTGTGCATCCTTAGTGTGATCAATGCAAGTTTGGTCAACATAAAGTTCACAGTTACTTTAGAAATTAACCTGCTCCAAAGCTTAACCTGGTCACTCATATGGAAAATGTAGATCAAATCCAGCATCTGAAGCAAGTCCAGTAGTGTGCATCCTTAGATGTATCATCCATGCAAGTTTGGTCAACATAGGGCTTATAGTTAACTGGAAATGAGTAATCTGCTCCAAAAACTTTCACCTGCTCTAAAAACCTTAACCTGATCTAAAAACATTAATCTGGTCATTTCTTAGCTGAAATTGCAGCATCTGAAATCTCGACTGATACAATGAAACACCATAGAAACATCTTCCATGCATCTCTGATTAATGTGGGGCACAGAATTACTTAAAAAAAAAAACTGCACCAAAAACTTTGACCCGGGATACCAACAACGACGCCAAGGGTATCACATAAGCTCCCCCCCAACTTCGTTGAGGTGAGCTAAAAATGCACTTTCAATCCATTCAATAGTGCTACAATATAATAACAATTTTCATTCTAAACTCAAATAAATATCCCTGTATACAACACATAATCTTAATTTAAATAAATAAGATAGACAATACAATTTAGAAAAAAGGTAACTTGATACATGTCTAATACTTGAAGTACATTGGAGAGTATTAGCTGCCCCAGTATCTCACTTTGGGATGTTAAATGAACAAGTTTATTAATAGTAAAAAACTTAAATATTATTTTTCAAATTTACAAAATAGTTTACATAAAAATAATTACAATTAGGCCTTAGGAAAACATATTCAGCTTAAAGTACATAACCTACTTTCATAAAAATTTATCGAATGCAAAGTCAGGTATTAATTATTAAATGGTGGGTTAACAATGGTATCTAGCAGAAATAAAATTACAAAACTTTTTATTTGAATGATATATCATGCACTGAGGTGTTTCCTCTTTTCTCCCACAAATTTTAAAGTTAACATAAGTTCAAAATGTACAGTAAATCGTGAGTATTCATGTACAGTTGAACTTCAGTATCTCAAACACTGATATCTCGAATACCTCAGATATGTCGAAGTGATTTGGATGTCCCAACCTCTTATTCTTTATATATTTTACCCTGGATATCTCAAATCCTCAGACATCTCGAAGTTTTTTCTCGGTCACATCGAGTTTGAGATAACAAGGTTTGACTGTATTTATTTCCTAAACATGTATATACATATTGAGATTAAAAAAATCAGAAGACTTAAAAGCTTTCATGGCTTCAAACATGAAAAACTTTTTGAATTAGATGTGAAATTTTAGTTTCAAACAATATGTCACAATTACAGTTTGAGGGCCTTAAGCATTGATCCAAATAAAGCAGGGGTTGAATTGACCAGACACTATCAAACATATTTAATTCGTCTCTATTCAGTCAGTTGAAAAACTACGACAGATTTAATGTATTTATATAAAATTTTTCTAATTGTCAATGTCTAAGCATTATTTAAGTGATTGCATCTAAACAACCAACATGTCTCTGCTCTGCTACAACTATGATTTACGATTGGGCTATGGTATTGTGTTGGGTATTACACAGTACATGTACATTATGAAATGGAAGAAATGGAGAAATACAAAAAGAGGATGATAAATTTGGTTTTTATGATAAAATTGGTTTTGTTTGTTTGTTTGTTGTTTAACGTCCCTCATGAGAATTTTTTACTCATATGGAGACGCCACCACTTTTTCGGTGGAGGGCTGCAAATTTATACCTATACTCGGCACTCAGGGCCATTGAGCAGTGAGGGATCTTTTTCGTACCAAAAACTACTGCAACACGGGACCTCAATTTATATCGTCTCATCCAAAGGACCGGTCTCCACGTCCTGCAGTGGATTTGAACCTGTAATGTAAGGATCAGCTCCTTACTCTGTGATTCTAGAGCAGACACTCTAACCACTGTGCCACACAGGCAATGATAAAACTGGTTATAAGATTGTAAAAGTAAGGTCGAAATTTTGAAATTCAATGTTTTTAGTCTTCTAGTATTCATATTTGGTGGGTTGTTTCTTTTACATGGTTGTCCTTCCAAAATGCTATTCATGTCATTCAATGCACACTAGCTTTCTTAAGAAATTCGTCTGCATCAACTTTCACTTTTTTCTTGTGTAAAAAACCCCCTCAAAATATCTGTGATTTGTAATCGAATTAATTGTAGATATAATTGATGCAATTTTATTTTCAAGTTATTATTCATTGTGAGCATTTTCGAAAAAATGGATATACAAAATTGCTATTTTCTTTTGCGGATGCATTGACTGACACCTTTGGTTGCGTAGATTCTGGTTGCGCTTTCAATGGGATGCTGGTTAGATGACGTTTGAGCTCTGCTCGATGCCAAAAAAATGCATTTAATATGTATTTTAGAGACTCAGGCATAATATGCAGTCAGTCCCCTAAAATCTGCAATGGACCTGTCCATCCAGTGCCAAGCCTGGTGTTATTATGTCAAAACAATGATCACAGTCTTCAATTTGATTACTTATATAACATGAAAATTGAGGCAACCTTTGAATTAGAATTTATACATCTACAATAATCCTTTAAAACTTACTTTTTACAAAATGTTAAATGAAAATAAAAGATAAGTGGTGTTTAACTTCTTCAACCTACACATGTACTGGTTTTCACAGTAGCAGTCAATACCGATTGCAGACAGACACTTATGGATGTGGACAATTCATTTTTATCTTTAAGAAGTTCCATGGACGCCTTGTTTTCAAACCCTCAAAGTTCAAGCCTATCACAGACCTTTTCTGAACTGCGCATTTTCTGCACTTCATGCATACATGTATGTATCACACAAAATAACATATCTCAACTACCCATTTCATTTTCTTTGACGTCATACAATTTGTACTGTTTTAGTATGTTATCACAGAATTTACATCCTATATGGAATTTAGTAATTTTTTCCAACACATCTAGGCGAAAATGTTCAGCCCTTGAAAAATAAAACACTATATGTCCAATCTTGGTCCCTTGGGCTTTCATATAATCCAGAACTTCTGTCCGAAAAGGACTACCACCTTTGCACCTGGTTCTAAAAAAAAACAAACAACATTTAGAGATTCAAAAATTGAAATAAGAGGCCCAGTTTGCTTATATAAAGAATTCAAACTCTATCATAGCCCTTGGGAGTGAGAGTGAACTAAAATTAAATCTACACTATAACTGCAGATGCTTAATTACCAATTAGGCAACTATTTATTTTGTTACTGAGAAAGAAATTCTTCCAGGAACAACTCTAAATCCATAAGAAAGTTCATTATAAACACTTGGAGCCACTATGTAAACAATCTTGAAAACAACAAAACACTAATTAAAATGAGAATACTTGTATATTTGCTTGTCAAATTGTACTAGCTCTTTCTGCTAAGAGATTGACAAAAATGTATTCATTATCCCAGAGCAAACTAAGTTTCCACAGAAAATTCATCCATTTACAAGGTTTTCTTATAAGTTTGCATACATTTTACAGAATAAGCAGATACTAGTAAGTATCCAATTAACCAAATAATTCTCTTCTAATTCAATCTGAAGAGGAAGATGTTTTTTTCTTAAATTTATAGGCATCTTATCATATTCTCCTGGTATAATATACATTTATTGCATGATAGTGAGGGAGACATGAAGATTTCTTCGCCCATGAAAAATCGTATTCTCCGAGGGCAACGCCTGAGGGGAATATGATTTTTCAAGGGAAAAGAAATCTTCATGTCTCCCGAACATTCATGCAATAAATTGTTTATTATACCGAATCAAGCACAATGCAAGAAATACAAAGAAAATCCGATGAATAAAGTAAAACATTTGATAAGAATAATATGAAACAGATGTTAGTTACACCACTAGTCCCACTTCATAAAAACATTCATTCGTGATGAGTCAATGTAATTTACACACCAGTAACATTACAACCCCACCAGTGAAAACACTTCTGTAAATATTTATATTTTACATGTTTGAGTCGACACAATCAATCAATGATATAAATGATCTAACTCAGTAGTAACCATCTCAGTCACCGCATTGTGATGTCACAACCGTGAAACATGACGTGAAACACGAAGTTTTGTTGCTGGGCAAACACGACGGTTACGTGACTGTCTCGGCCAATCAGATTCTATTTCACTAATGATTATTCATATGAGGTATAATAAACAGTTTTATTAAGGATATTCTCTTCTTAATAATATCAAATTAATGAATAATGTCTTACCCAATGGCAATAATTTTGTATGCTTCCACTTTTAATACATCTTTGGCAAAACCCTTCCAGCTTCTTAGTGATCCATAGTAATCATCTGGGTCAAGTAAATCACCTAAGTCTTCCAGATGCTGGTAACTCTTGGGACTGTCAATGAATGCTGCAATGGTGCAGAGGCAATCTTCTTGATCTAGTAAAAACAAAATAACCTATATCAGCATAATCGCAAAGTGCATTTAATGGCAGTATGTGAATGAAATTCTGTGAAAGCTCCACTGAATTTCATTCAGGGGTTAAGGAAGAGTTGCATTAACAAAATGGATACCCCCCCATTATTGAGTATAATGGCAGAGTCCATGTTTTGCTTTGGGAAAGAGCAAATATCTGATCACAAAAACAAAATAGGAGGTGCACAATGCCATTATGTAATAAAGATTCTTTGAAAGTCTTATTAAATTTTTATTCAGTGGTATAGGATGAGTTGCTGATAAGAGATGGGTACCCACAATATTATGAAAAGAATGGCAGTGTCCATGTTTTGTGATGGGAAACCCCAAACATGTGTCTGATTGAAATGAAAAATAGGAGATGCACAATGCCACTATGAAAGAAAGAATAAATTGCACTCAGTGGTGTAAGAGGAGGATAAGGGATGGCTACCCCCAAGTGTAATGGACAGAGGGGCATAAGGGCAGACACTCCCATCACTATATACCCCCTACTATCAAGTGGGGAAATAATTAAGTACAGTCAAACATCGTTATCTAGAACTCGATGAGACAGAGAAAAATCTTCAAGATATCCAAGGATTTGAGATATCGAGGGTAAAATACTTAAAGAATAAGTGGTTGGGACCTTCAAATCACTTCAACATATCCATGGATGATTGGTGTTTGAGATACCAAAGTTTACCTGTAATAACTCTCCAAAATAGTCAATTTTAGTGACAGTACCAAAGATCTTGTCACATGTACATGTGAAAAAAAATGAAAGCCTTATCTCTTCTGGAGCAAAAGTTATAGCCAAAGTTAAAACTGTTGATAAGTAGGTCAAAATGTTCTGTCAGGGTCATGAGGTAACAAAAACTACAAATATGTCCATAGGATATAAATGCCCCGCCGAGTGTATATCAGTAATGCAACATGAAAATTTGTATTAGTGTTTAAGTTTGATGAAAATGCCTTGAATAGTTCCTTTAAGGGGGGACCTATGTCCGAAAAGTCTTTGTGTGAAATTTCTGAAACTTCAATTTCTGAAACTTTGATATTTTTTATACTAGCACTTACTTAGGAATTTAAGCTGATAAAAACAATACCTTCATTTGCTTGTTTTTGCGCTGCAGCATGTGCAAGATCATTGTAAAAAGCTGAGAAATGGTGGATTTTCAACAGCTTCAATTTTACATAAAATGCATTCAAAAAAGACCCAAATTGCAAAAATATATTTAAATTCAACATTTAATTCAATTATAAGACTTATTCCTCAGAATTAAAACCAAATTCAGTGGAATTCCGACAAAAGAAAAAAAAATTCTGATTCTCAATGAAAAAGACACCCCTTATCCTTTTAAGTAATTCTGGCAACTTTCTCATGCATAATGGAGAATTTTGAAAAAAGTCCATGTGTGAACATGCTTGAATGAATATATTCTAAAGAAATAACCTTTCTTTTTATTCTGATAAAGAAAAAAATATACCTTTATTGGCTAATTACTGAGAAATATTTATTTTTCATACTGTTTTCTAAAGAACTGACCTTTCTGCACTAAGACATTTAAGGCATTATAAGGAACATTGATAAGAACATGTGTAAAATAGTTTATTCTGGAGAAAACAAATATTCCTTTTTTATTTAAAATCTGATTCCAGTGATTTGTGTTATTATTCCTAAACAAGACAGTTACTATATGCCATAAATAATTTTATCCTAACCACTAACACACCAAAAGTGAGGGACCACAATTCTCTGAATTTGCTTGTTTGTAGTTCATTCATCAACTATTTTCTTAGTCAGGGTCAAACATGAAAAAACTATAAACGGTATCAATTTTGCTTACTTTTCTCTTAGCATATGGCATATTGTAACTGTCTTGTTTTGCATCCTTCAAACTTATAGGTCAAGGTCATGAAGTTCAAAAATGATATATCTTTCTGAAAGGAGTTGTCATAGGTAGAGTTCACATAAAATATGAAAGCCTTCCATCTTCTCATTCAAACATTACTAATAAAATGTAAAAAAAAAAAATTTGAAAAAGATTGTAGGTTAGCCATTAAAGTCAAGGTCATGAGGTCAAAAACCAATGTCATTCAGAAATGTCTTGAAACACGCAATGCACATGTGAAATATAAATGTCATACCTTCTCTCATTTAAAAAATATTAACAAAGTTAACATTTTTGAAAATTAGTTCAAATGTCAAGGTCAAGGTCATGGGATAAAAAATTATAGTACATTTGGAAATATCTTGTTACAGCTAGGTAATGCATGTCAAATATGATGAATGTTCATTCTTCTCTCCTTCAAAAGTAAGCATTAAACTTTTGAATATTAGGTCAAGCTTGAAGGTCAAGGTCATGTGGTAAAAAATCATAGTATATTTGGAAAGGTCTTGTCAAAGGTAATTTATATGTATAATTTATCTGCCATATAGTCTCTAATTCGAAAGTTATCACCTGTCCATTGTTAAAATTTTTGGAAAATTAAGTCACACTTCAAGGTCAAGGTCATGGGGTCAAATATCATGACATGTTCTGAAATGTATTGTCACAGGTAATGTACATGTCAAAAAATGAATGCTCTATCTTCTCTCATTCATAGTTATAAACAATGTTAAAATTTTTGAAAAGTAGGTCAAACTTCAAGTCCAGGTCATGAGGTCAAAAATCATAGCATATGTACATTTGGAAACATCTTGTCACAGGTAATGTACATGTGAAATATGAAAGCCCTTTTTTCTCATTCAGAAGTTATGATCAAGGTTAAAGTTTTTGTGACAGACAGACTGACAGATGGACAATCTGACAGGTAAATGACATCTAATGTTCCCTCGCATTTGCAAAAGCAGGGGACAATTACATTAATGAGAGAATAGGATGAGGCAGCTTTACATATCAGGGATGGGCACGATTACTGAAAAATGTAATCGATTAATAATCAATTACTCAGAGGAATTTTATTTAATTGATTATTAATCGATTACACTCATTTTTGTCCTGTAATCAATTGTAATCAATTACTTTGGAAGATGTAATCGATTAATAATTGATTACTTTAAAGTTTTTATCCCTTCAAATATCAAAGCAATATTTAAATGGTAAATGTGGATGTTATCCACTGAAGTTTGAATGTGTTCCTGCAGTTTCAGTGCAGATTCTTTTAAGGTTTTATTCTGGCTAACATTCTCACTAAATGCCCAAATGAGGGATTCTCTACCATGGAAAGTGGAGACATGATTCCTTCAATAAAATATGCCAAGGAATTAATTATCCCTTTCAACCTTGGATCTGAACCTCCATATTTATTGACTTGTTGCAAAAATTATTTAATATTTTATTGTGAATTACTTCATTAAAAGTATTTGGGCTGTCTGTATGTTGACAGTACACATTAAACATTCCTGTACGTGTCTTTTTCAAAAAAAAACAACGTAAATTTGAAAGAACTCTTAGTAATAAACATGTAAATTAAATGTGTTTTTAAGTAATTTAACTAATAGCACAATTTCATTCTGTATTGAAGTAAGTGTTTTGAGAGCTATTTATTCTTTTAATAATATTGTTTGTCTTCAATGGAATGAAAGTTAAACACTAGGTAGTTTACAGTTTACACCTCATTATCTGCAAATCAGGGATATGTCTTAGTCAATTAATTAGCCAATTAAGATAAGCAAACACAGTCACTGTGACACTTTCTCTCTTACAGACATAACCTCTCACTGATATAAAAGCAACCTTACAATTTTGAATGAAAACATGAGAATGATTTTGCAAATTTTAAAGTTACTAAAACACAAGTTTGAAGTTGTTTAAACATTTTCAGATATGAATAAGTATTTCCATCATCTTTTTTTCGAGTACAATGTAGTTTATTTACCAAATTATTTATATTTAATACAGCACTTAAATCTGTTTTTGCTATTTATAATTTTCTATTACAAGACAAAGTTTTTCAACATCTGAAATATGAAAAAGGACATGCTGCAAGAGGACAGTGGGTCAAATGTAAAATGCACACGAAAAATCTGTATATTTTATTAATAAATGGTTGAAATACACTTCTGAATTATTTAATACTAGACCAGTAGGTCTATAAGGCAAATTTTATTGAGAACATTATTAAACTTATGATAAAAAAAGTTAGAAAATCCAAACATTACACTAGGTGGTTTATATTTGATATTTATGTGTGACTGACTGGAAGTAATTCTCCAAAATAACTTCCACTTTATGTATAAAATAATCGAAAGTAATCGAAAAAGTAATTATAATTACATTGAAAATTTTAGCTGTAATCGATTAAATTACGATTACAAGTAATCAAAAATCTCTTCAATTACAGTTTACTGTTGATTACTTGAAAAAAGTAATCATTACAATCCATTACGATTACTTGATTACGACTACCCTATCCCTGTTACATATCACTGAAACTGTATTTTCCTCAAACCATGAAATCTGACCCTCATGTTTATTCCTGAAACTGGTAATTCACCCATAAATTAAAACCCTTAGTACGCAGTACTGTTAAAACATAGGTAATCAAAGATTACGAAGCTCATCTCGACGAATGTTATCTTTAAGTAAGGCAAATTTCGCATAATTTTTTATTTAGTGCATACATGTGATAAGTCAAAGACCACAAAACTGTACAGGAGCCATAAAAAAACTGGAATTTGGGTGAAAAAACTGTACACTGCCTATCAAAAAACGGTACAAAAAATGGAATAAAATATCGCTTAAATTTTGATGAAATTCCATCGTAATCATTGTAATAAACATCGTATATTTTATACCTACGAAGATCTGGGTAAGATTCATGTATATTAAGTCATGTATATCAACCTTAGAAGTTGGCTCAATTTTTTTCAATCAAGTTACATATACGAAACATTAACAGTAATTAAGTACCCCTTAAAAAATAAAGCTACCTAAAGGGGTATTTGATACGGATTTATAGCAAGATAATTATCCCAATTGGCAGTTCACACCTTCGCACGCGATGGTTTGTGTACACTACACAATTATCAGAAGGTCAAGTGTCAAACACAGGTGACGTCTTCCAGTGTCTCGCGAGCGAGAATGAGTAAAATGGCGGCATTTAGCGAGAAATTCAAAATACTGTACAAATTTTCATATTCCGTGAATTTTGGTGTCCCGCCGGTACACGATGAATGGGCTCGAAAAACTGTACATTTTGTGTACAGCCGGTACATATCACATGTATGTTAGTGTACATCCCAAGATCAATGTCCACGCAAGTTTGGTTTAAGTACTACTTATAGTTACTAGGAAATAGACCTGTTCAAAAAACGTTTATCCTGTTTACTAATCAAGAAAATTTTGGTCAGTTCCAACATCCAAAGTAAGTCTGGAAGTTTTCATCCTTAGATGCACCATCTATGCAAGTTTAATCATAACAAGCCATATTGTTATACCTTTAAAAATTTGTTCCTATATAAATCAATACTGATAAAAGTCTAACATTTCCAATGTTTTACTGAGCGGGCATAAAAAAATTGATGTTTGACAGCGAAGTGAGAAATTGGACCTGTTGATGAGATGTTGGACCGCTTACGTCACATAATGGGCGGGGTCAGCTAAATCTCATTTGCATTCGTTGGTGTTCGACATACATGGATGTCAAAATAATAATAATAAATAAAAAGTATAACAAAACATTTATTGACTGTGTTCTTGGGCAAAATGCTTTTTGTCGACCCCTCGAACCAAACTGTTTGCCTTCGGCCTAAGGCCTCAGGCAAACAGTTTGGTTCTTGGGTCCGACAAAATGCATGTTGCCCTAGAACCTGGTCAATAAATGTATAATGTTATATAGCTACTCCAAAAAAATTATTCTGGTCACTCATCTGGAAAATGTAGGTCAGATTCAGAATCCAAAGCAAGTCTGGAAGTGACCATCCCTAGCTAATTTGGTTAAAATATGGCTAAAATTCACTCGTGGAAAATCTAGGTCGAATCCAGCATCCGAAGCAAGTGTGGTAGTGTCCATCCCTAGATGCATCATCCATGCAAGTTTGTTCAAGGTAGAGCTTATAATTACTTGGGAATGGACCTGCTCCTAAAACTTTAACCTGGTCACTCATCTGGAAAATCTAGGTCAGATCCAGCATCCGAAGCAAGTGTGGTAGTGTCCATCCCTAGATGCATCATCCATGCAAGTTTAGTCCAGGTAGGGCTTTTTATTACTTGGGTATGGACCTGCTCCAAAAACTTTAACCTAGTCACTCAACTGAAAATCTAGGTCGGATCCAGCATCCGAAGCAAGTGTGGTAGTGTCCATCCCTAGATGCATCATCCATGCAAGTTTGGTCCAAGTACGGCTAATAGTTACTTGGATATGGACCTGCTCCAAAAACTTTAACCTGGTCACTCATCTGGAAAATCTAGGTCAGATCCAGCATCCGAAGCAAATGTGGTAGTGTCCATCCCTAGATGCATCATCCATGCAAGTTTGGTCCAGGTAGGGTTTACAGTTACTTGGGAATGGACCTGCTCCAAAAACTTTAACCTGATCACTCATCTGGAAAATCTAGGTCAGATCCAGCTTCCGAAGCAAGTGTGGTAGTGTCCATCCCTACATGCATCATCCATGCAAGTTTGGTCAAGGTAGGGTTTATAGTTACTTGGGAACGGACCTGCTCCAAAAACTTTAACCTTGTCACTCAACTGCAAAATCTAGGTCAGATCCAGCATCCGAAGCAAGTGTGGTAGTGTCCATCCCTAGATGCATCATCCATGCAAGTTTGGTCCAGGTAGGGCTTATAGTTACTTGGGAATGGACTTGCTCCTAAAACTTTAACCGGGACGCCGACGCTTACGCCGACGGTCTAGCATAAGCTCATCTTGACTTCGTCGAGGTGAGCTAAAAAAGAAATCTTTCTCTTACTGGATTTCAATGAGATATCCTCTTCATTACTCCTTTCAGAAATGTCTGTGAGAAAAGGCTGAGCATGTAAATTAGGTTTTTTCTCTACAGCCTCTGAAATAAGATTAACAATATCCTTTTTAACATCACAAATCACAGCTGCAGCCTTTCCTCCTTTGGCACTGCCTGTCTGGGACCTATAGTTCCCAGAGTGCTCAGTAGCATTTTCTGTTTCTGACTCTCTGCCTGAGTCAGCAGAAATTTGATGATTGTAACTTGGCACTTGAGGTAATTTGTCACTACCCTGTGAAGAATTCGGCTTCAAGTCTGCAGGATCTGATGTCGTAGAGCTTGTCCCTGCGACAGACCCCCGGCCAGAGTCAGAACCCGGCACTTTCTTTTGGTACCCAGTTTGAGTTCTCTTCACTGGTTCAACTGTATCAATTTGTTCAAGAATAGAAGAAAGTCCTTCATTTGAACTAGGAAACTGTGAAATGTTTCCCATGCTTGATGATTCCTCACGAGGAGAGAGGGAATCACAGTTTAGATCTGGTGCTTCACTGATGTCCAAACTGTCCTCTGAAGACTTCAAGGATTGTGCATCCAGAGGAGGAGAAGACATGATTTCGTGAGAATCCCTGCTTTGAGTTGGAGGATTGCTGTGCAGTTGATGCTCAGACTCCTGTACTAGGAATCTGTCTGATATGGAGGGGTCACGGGCAGGATTTTCAACTTTAACCCCAGCATTATTAGCCATGTTTGGCCCCATTTCCAGCATCTCTCTGTTTTCTTCATTTGAAACTGCTCTTCCTCTACCTAAAAAATTGGTAAAAAAAATTATCACAATTTAATCAAAAATATTCCTCTGGAATTAAGACACATACATTTTATATGGTCCAAAGCAAATAAACTTTGTCCTTTTGTTACCTTTTATCTTTTTCTTCCTTTTCGACAGCACACAAATTATACATATAAATAAGATGATAATCAGCACAACAACTGCAGCTAAGGCTATCATCAGAAATAGGAAGACTGAAACTAAATTAGAGATATTAATCTAAAAATTCATTTATATGATAAAGTCTCTGCAACGCAAGATATGATTTAGATTGTTATAGAATTATACAAAGTAGTTCTTACTCAACATGTAAAATTTCAAGAAATGCAATATTCCATTGATACAAATGTGATAATATAATAATGCATCAACTACTTATACAATAAAACAAGATGAGTTTGTCAAACACTGGTGCCATCGTATGGCAGCTCATGGGCAAGATTAAAGTTTTTTGGCATACCTGGATGACAACCCTACTAAGACCTGATAATTTGTGATGTCTCAAAGAATCTAAATTTAATAAAATTAATAGAGTAGAAAATATAAGTCAAACCTCTTGTGTTCTCCTACCTCCCACTGCTCTGATTCCATACTTTTAAATTATGTCAACAGACAACTTTGACCTCACTGTTATTTATTGTTCACCAATCCCGTGTATATATCAATTATATAAATGAGTTATTAAGCTTACAACTTGCTCACTTGTGCTATTTCATTGTCATGTGAAAGGAGACAACAGTTGTCACCCTGCTTGTGAGGGAGACATCATGAATTATTTCTCTGCACATGAAATATGCTCATAACCAATCAGATTGACTGTATTATTCTGAAGGATAATAATATAATTTCAACATCACAGTTAGGGGTAAACAAATTTATTTTATGTTCTAGATTTATAAACAATCTTAGAAGCCCTTTCTCTAAGTGCACTACCTTGACTGTTTTACATGACCTATTACTGTTACATGACCTATTACTGTTACATGACCTATTACTGTTACATGACCTATTACTGTTACATGACCTATTAATATACTGATAAGAATCCTGTCAGGAATACTGACATTGCCTTACCTATTTGTGTTTCATCTTTTCCCTTTCTTTTTCTTCCTACAATCAGTATGGGATAAAAATAAGTTATAATTCATCTTACTCAGACAAACAACATTTAAAGAATCATCTTTGCCAAGTCTGGTTCTTATACATGCAATAGTTCTAGAGACAAGAGGCCCAACGGCCTTAACGGTCTCCTGAGCATAATACAACACTGCAAAGGATCCATAGAAGTATAAAGCAAAATCAACTGATAGATGAAGCTATGTTACCCAAGAATTTCAAAAGTTTAAAAGTACTCGTGCATATTGTAACATGCTAGACCCTGAGCGATCTCCTTGGAATTGTACTTGGTTTGCCTAAGTCTTACAAGGATGATACATAAATACAATGGACACTTGCCTAGTGTGTATCAAGGTATTTAATACTTAGTATGTTTTTGTCACTTGCCTAATGCAACAATTAAGTACACAAAGAGAAATCTCTAATGCCCATAAATTTACCCGAGGTGATGTCTCTTGGCTAAATAAACATCTTAGCTGTAAGCCACTTGGTAAAACATGGTACAAACAACTTGGTAATACTTGTTACCAGCACTTATCACTCGCCTATACAATGTGGCTACCAGACCCACTGCCTCTACTCTCCCCCCCCCCCCCCATTACAAAATTCCTGGATCCACCATTGCCCAGTGGGTCATCAATTGAACAAAATTGAATTTACACTACCTGAGGATGCTTCCATATCAAAATGACTAAACATGATTTTCAGTTCTTGAAAAGAAGACATTTCCATATATGTTCCTATGTAAAATTTTCAATCCTCCATTGGGCCTCACCCTACCCCTGGGGTCATCATTTGAACAAAATTGAATTTACACTACCTGAGGATGCTTCCATATCAAAATGACTTATCATGGCTTTGCAGTTCTTCAGAAGAAGAAATTTTCCTATATATTTCTATTTAAGACTTTGATCCTCCATTGTGGCCCCACCCTACCCCCCGGGGGTCATGATTTGAACAAAATAGAATCTACACTACCAGAGGATGCTTCCACATAAATATGACCAATCAGGGCTTTGCTGTTCCTGAGAAGATTTTTTTAAGATTCTTCCTATATATATTTCAATGTAAAACTTTGATCCTCCATTGTGGCCCCACCCTACCCCCGGGTGTCACGATTTAAACAAATTTGAATCTACACTACCTGAAGATGCTTCCATATAAATATGACTCATCATGGCCTTGCTGTTCTTGAGAAGAAGATTTTTAAAGATTTTTTCCTTTATATTTCAAAGTAAAACTTTGATCCTCCATTGTGGCCTGCCCTACCCCCGGGGGTCATGATTTGAACAAACTTGAATCTACACTACCTGAGGATGCTTCCATATAAATATGACTCATCATGGCTTTGCTGTTCTTGAGAAGAAGACTTTTAAAGATTTTTCCTATATATTTCTATGTAAAACTTTGATCCTCCATTGTGACCCCCGGGGGTCATGATTTGAACAAACATGAATCTACACAGTTTCATCTTTCCTGGCCCTGTGCTTCTTGAGATTTTTAAAAGATGCTATTAATTTTTCACCAATTCTCTATAATCTCCCCTTGAAAGAGGGCATGGCCCTTCATTTGATCAAAAAACTTGAATCCCCTTCACCCACGGATACTCTATGCCAAGTTTGGTTGAAATTGGCCCAGTAGTTTTGGAGAAGAAGATGAAATTGTGAAAGTTTACAATGACAACAACAACGCCAATGCCAACGACAACAGACAACGGACAAATTTTGATCAGAAAAGCTCACTTGAGCCTTCAGCTCAGGTGAGCTAACAAGATTTCATGATTTTAAACCTCTCAGTATTTGAATTAATGACCTTAATTGTTTTGAAAAAGATTAGCCACAAAATTCAAAAAGTAGGTCAAGGTGACCTACTTTTTAGTCAATGTACTCCAAGGACCCAAGATACATTAACCGACAAAGTTTGATGATCATAGGCCTTAAATTGTTCAAAATATGCCTTTAATTAGGGATGTCAACGAATAATCTAGTACTCGACTATCGTTTGATCAACCGACTATCCACTAAACCTTTTTTTGTCAGCTATTTGTTAAAAAAATTTGATACTCGATAGTAATCTTAAATTTAAGGTTTAACCAGAAGTCTCTGATGAGACTGTAGCTCTACTGGTTGTATTTATACATTGTAAAGGAAGATAAAAGTAGCACTTTGACTTGAAACTTTGCAACAGCAATAAACAGAATAATGATCCTTGGTTTAGTCTCTTTTGTGGCAAGATTTATTATTATATCAGACTAAAACTGTAGGAGGAGTAGCCTTTTAAAACAATTTTACAGAAATTTTGATTTAAGTAACCATGGCAACATCATTCAACAAAAATAAAAAAACAATAACACCAATTATGTATCTCTGTAGTCTACTTGTATGCCACATTATACTGAAATCAGACAAAAAATGTAGGAGGAGTAGCGTTTTCAAAGTATTTCAAGAAATTTCTACTTTTAGTAACCATGGCAACACCGTTCATTGAAATCCAAAACTGGTACAGAGAATTATGTATCTTAGTGTAGTCTAATTGTGTGCTAAGTTATACTAAAATTAGACCAAAACTGTAGGAGGAGTAGCATTTTGAAGGTATTTCAAGGAAATTTCTATTTTTAGTAACCATGGCAACACTGTTCATCAAAATCCGAAACTGGTATAGAGAATAATGTATCTTAGTGTAGTTTAGTTGTGAGCTAAGTAATACTAAAATCAAACCAAAACTGTAAGAGGAGTAGCATTTTGAAGGTATTTCAAGGAAATTTCTATTTTTAGTAACCATGGCAACAATGTTCATCAAAATCAGAAAATCAATATAAAGAATTATGTATCTTAGTGTAGTCTACTTGCTTGCCAAGTTATACTGAAATCAGACCAAAACTGTAAGAGGAGTAGCATTTTGAATGTATTTCACAGAAATTTCTATTTTTAGTAACCATGGCAACACCGTTCATTGAAATCAAAAACCGATACACAGAATTATGTATCTTATTATAGTCTACTTGTTTTGCCAAGTAATATTGAAATCAGATAAAAACTGTAGGAGGAGTAGCATTTTGAAAGTATTTCACAGAAATTTCTATTTTTAGTAACCATGACAACATCCTTCATCGAAATCAAAAACCGATACACAGAATTACGCATCTTAGTATAGTCTACTTGTGTGCCAAGTTATATTGAAATCAGATAAAAACTGTAGGAGGAGTAGCATTTTGAAAGTATTTCACAGAAATTTCTATTTTTAGTAACCATGGCAACACCGTTCATTGAAATCAAAAACCGATACACAGAATTATGTATCTTAGTGTAGTCTACTTGTGTGCCAAGTTATACTGAAATCAGACTAAAACTGTAGGAGGAGTAGCATTTTGAAAAATTGTTTACAGACGGACAAACAGACAGACAGACAGACGGACGGACGACGGACACCTTACTATCGCATAAGCTCTTGTTCTTGTTCTTGTGAGTAAAATACTCAGGGTAACTGTAAGGCTTAAACGGTCTTCGTTGATTGTTCAAACCTAAGGAAATTGTTTGCTTGTCGATTCTTGTTTGGCAAACATGCATTGGAATACTTTAAAAGATGTCAGATCCAGATTGTAAAGTTTCAACCTTCAATTCCATAAGATCTCGCATAATGCAACTATTAATTAATTAAGAGTTTTCATAATTGAGCAGCTGTTGCGTAATTGGAGGACAGTTATGAGCGTAATTTAAATGTGTTTCTTTCCGGTATAAATATCAATAATTTCAAGATTGTATCAATTCAATTGTTTGCAAAAAATCTCATAATTAAAAATTATTGCAAGCTCTCTTTGTTTTAAAAATTGGTATGCTCTAACTGTGTACCAGTCACGGGTCACTGAAAAGACCCATTCAAATGGCTTCAGGTAAGAAATCAATAGTTCAGTGGTACATGCACTACATAATGACAAAGGAAGCCACAAATGATATCCCATATTTAGATAAAATATGCAGTAAATATTTTATTTGAAATCAAATACATTGTATACATACATATATATTTATTACTACATGAACATAAATGTTAACGATCAATAATTCGATTTCAATGGTGATAGCGTAGATTAAAAATTGTACAAGCTATCAGTCTGTTAAAGTAAAAGGGGGAAAACGACTTGAAAAATTAATGTACATTTCATTGAGTACTCAACCATCATTCGACTAAAGCCTCTGACTATTCGACTAAGCTGTCCAAGTAAATTTGACATGGCCGCAAAATTTAAAAAGTAGGTCACTGTGACCTACTTTTGAGTCAACATGATATGAGGTCCTTAGATGCATCAACTGACAAGATTTGATGATCCTAGTCCTTGTAGTTAGCAAAATATCAACATTTTAATAAAATGTAATTTTTGGTCAATTTTGAAGTGACCTTGAGACCACGTCCTTTGCCCCAGGGTAAATCCCCACGCAAATTTTAATCTACAACACATCCTTATCCTTTTGTGTAAGTTTGGTGATAATCTGCCCAGTGGTTCGTGAGAAGAACATTTTTTAGCAACCAGTACTTTTGTATTTTCCTAATTATCTCCCCTTGTTTAAGGGTCACAACCCTAGTTTTATTATAAATAGGAGCCCTTGGGCCAAGGATACCTTGTGACAAATTTGACAATAATTGGCCAAGGGGTTCTTGAGTTATGGCCCATATTCTAAAAAGTTTACACACACCACACACATGACCATGGCATTAGCTCTTTGAGCCTTTGGCTCAGAAGAGCTAACAAGAGGCCCAAGGGCTTTAACGGTCACCTGAGTATAATACAACAATTTAGAAGTTAAATACACTGATAGATGAAGCATTGTTGCCCTAAAGCAAGAGAAGAAGGAAGATCAGGATCAACAAAATAATTAGTCTAGTATTCAGTATCAACTCATAACTTAAGTTCTAATCTGCCCCCACTTAACACTATCACCATGCAGACTATTAACAAACTATTAGTGCTTCTGTACTATTTTTAAACCCATATTAAGACCTCTAGCATTGACCTCTCTTATGGTCTTTGAAGAACTTTTAATAAGATAAGTTATTTTTGTATCATTTTTATTTATCTATTACTTGCAGGTCTACCTGATTATTAATACTAAGAAAGTGCTTTTTTAATAATACGATAAACATTCTTGCATAATTATCTTATTCTATTAACCTTTCAAATACATTATTTACAGTGACTAATTATCAAAGGTGAATGGAAAAGGGGAATAACTTCTCTCAGTAGAATACAAGTTAATAGAGCCCTGCCCAGGACCAGAATGCTTAGACGAATGGTCCAGATGTTTAAAAATCTGGTAGAAATATGCTTACTCATATCATTTAAACTTTTACTCAGTTTGCTTCCGATATGCCCAGAAGCAGAGAAGAATTTCACAGGTACAATGCATTTTCACTACAGATTCAACAAAGCCTTACCCTAACACCAGAACCCAAGACCAAGGGTCAAGAAATTTACAAATTTGGAAGAGTTACCCTCATCATCATAACAATGGACTTCAAAGAATTAAGTACACTTTTCCACTATATTATCAAAAGCCCCCCCCCCCCACCCCTCGTTATGCCAGAACCCCTGACCCTATGGACCACAAGATTTAAAAATTCTGTTCGAAGCTCCCATTTTCATCATAGCTAAGCTCAACACTAAGGAGCAGACAGGATTAGTTAATGATTAATCAATAGAATTAATGCTTTTTCACTATATAATCAATAGAGCCCCCCCCCCCCCCCCCCCGTCCTCAAAAACCCCAAAACTGAGGCCATATATTTAAAAATTTTGAAAGAGGCATCCTTGTCTATCATAATCATGCACTTAGTTTGTTTAAATAATCTCCAGTAGCAGAGAAGAAGATTTTCAAAGAATCAATGCATTTTCACTATATAATCAATAGAGCCCCACCCTAACACCAGAACCCCTGACCCTGGGGCCATGAAATTCACAATTTTTGAAAAGGCATCCTTATGCATCATAACCATGCACTTAGTTTGTTTAAATAGTCTCCAGTAGCAGAGAAGAAGATTTTCAAAGAATCAATGCATTTTCACTATATAATCAATAGAGCCCCACCCTAACACCAGAACCCCTGACCCTGGGGCCATGAAATTCACAATTTTTGAAAAGGCATCCTTATGCATCATAACCATGCACTTAGTTTGTTTAAATAGTCTCCAGTAGCAGAGAAGAAGATTTTCAAAGAAATAATGCACTTTCACTATATGATCTATATAGCCCCATTCTGGGGCCAGAACCCCTGACCCTGGGGCCATGAATTTCACAATTTTGGTAGAGGGCTCAATGCTTATTACAATGATGCCAACAGTTTGACTGCTTGATGTTCAGGAGTAAAGAAGAAGATTTTTAAAGATTGCATTATTTTTGGTGGTTTTAGCCCCACCCCTCAGGCCCTGGGGGGGGGGGGGGGCAGGGACCATGAAATTCACAACTTTGTTCCCCTTCACCCATAGATGCTATATACCAAATTTGGTTGAAATTGGTTGAGCGGTTCTAGAGAAGAAGTTAAAAATGTTCAAAAGTTAACGCATGACGGACAACAACGGACGAAAACAGATAGCAATAGGTCACCTGAGTGACTCAGGTGACCTAAAAAGAGGCAACCTTGCTCATCATAACCATGCATTTAGTTTGTTTGCTTAATGCCCAGGAGCAGAGAAGATTTTCAAAGAATTAATGCATTTTTTCACTATAATCATTAGAGCCTCGCCCTTACACCAGAACCCGTGACCCAGCAGCCATGAAATTCACAATTTTGGAAGAGGCAACCTTGCTCATCATAACTAAGCATTTAGTATGTATGCTTAACACCCAGGAGCAGAGGAAAAGATTTTTTAATAAATAATGCATTTTTACTATATATTCAACAATAGTAGAGCCCCACCCTAGAACCATAACCCCTGATCCTGGGGCCATGAATTTCACAATTTTGATAGAAGACTCAATGCTTATTACAATCATGCCAATATTTTGACTTCTTGATGTTCAGGAGTAAAGAAGAGGATTTTTAAAGATTGCATTAATTTTGATGGTTTTAGCCCCACCCCTCAGGCCCCAGGGGGGCAGGCACCATAAGATTCATAATTTTTGTTCCCCTTCACCCATAGATGCTATATGGCACAATTGGTTGAAATTGGTTCAGTGGTTTCAGAGAAGAAGCTAAAAATTTTCAAAACGATGAACGCTGACAGATGAAAACAGATAGCAATAGGTCACCTGAGTGACTCAGGTGACCTAAAAAGGTTCTTAAGAGTACACAACAGATTACAAGTCAGGAGTTTTAAAATTTAACGTGTCCTTGGCTCAAATGAGCTAATATAGTGATTTATGTTATTTTATTCTTATGTTTTTCCATCTCAACAAGTTTAAAAATTTTTATAACAGAATAAACTTGACAACATTGAAGAATTACAGACTCGAAGATTTCTCTATTGCTAGAGTGTTTATATACATGTATGTACTAAAAAAAAATCACCTTAATTGTTAACTTTAAATAACTGTTTCGTATTAAGAAACCATTCCAAAATATGAAAAATAACAGCCAACAGTTATGAATTACCTGGTAATACTACATTAGCTGGATCACTCTGCAGACTAGCCTTGTACTGGTTAAAAGCAGTGACTGTGATAGTGTAATTCTTCAGCACCTCTAAGTTGGGTATGATGAGCGATTCTGTTGTGGTGTTCAGAGTTAAACTGTTATTATCATCACATGTGATATGAACAGTGTAACCAATGATAAATGTGTCATTTATTGGTGATATCCAGCTCACATTTACAGCAGTTGTGTTCATGACTTGAACATGAACATGTCTAGGCCTCTCAGGAGGATCTGTGGAAGAAAAGAAAACCTATATACCGGTAATGGTTTCTAAACAAAATTCTAGTGAACTTGAAGGGGACAGTTATCTTTTATCAAATCTGGCAAATGGGCCCTGAAAGCTCATAGATTGATCCCTAGATTTATAGACCTTAGAGAAAGTATACTGACTGAGCACAAAGTGCAAGGTGGATATGCTTTTCTCCAAGATCTATATCTTGAGGAATTGAACTGAATCAAAAGGCTACATTTGTTTTACCATTTTTTGTATTACCGTTAAATAATGAGAAACATCTTAAAAATCCATGTTTCTACTATATTGTTATTGTTCATGTAAGCATGTTATAATCATTGGGACTGTCACAATCAAAATTTAATCCCGATTATTGTTTTATTTATGTTTATGATTTTTACTTATTTTTCCTTTACGGGACCTCTTTATTCTGTTACCTGTAATGAACCTCAAATTCAGAAATTGCAGGCATTGGTCAGTACGGCCTATTGTATTTGGAGTATTTAAATCGCTGCATTGCTGACCACGTAGCCGGGTCCACATTTTCATACTTTTTACATGCTTGACGTACAATCCAAGATGTGTAGATAGGTAGTTTTTACAACGGTAACCATTTCTCCATGAGGGGTAAGTTAAATTTTCTTATGATTTAGTATTTTGATATTGCATTAAGGTTTGTTAACTTTGTAAGAAAATGGGTAAAGTAATGTTTTTGTTACTGTTAACGTATACAAGTTTTGCTGAGTAGAGTTACTCATGCGTGTAATGTTCTGGTTTTGTGCATGTACTAAGTTATGTACGCACGCAGTGTATTTTGTTTTTTTGCCGCTTATACAGTCGGTGTCGTGTGTTTAGTTGTTAAAACCACTTGTGTTAAGAAATTGTATATTCTTAACGCTGTCTACATATATAACAGTGTTTGGTTAGATTTACTGTTTGTATGGTGTGCCATTTGTGCAATGATAGTCAATGGTGACTAGTTTTTTTTTAGGTATACGTAACCTGTGACTTAAAAATGTTATTTAATTTAAAGGTTCCTGATATAATCCTGATAATATCTAGTCATGTGTGTGTTGGCAATGACGTTCAACAGACCGGAGACCCACTGGGAGCCAGTTGGCGGGAGTCCATCATGAAACAGGGCATGTCTGGACGTGGTTGTGAGCGAACACCAGGATGACGTGGATTGAAAGAGACTTTTAAGATATACATATTGTAAATTATAACTGTATAAATATAGTGTAAATATTGTTAATACTGATTTTATTTATATATAAAAAAATTGTAAATAGAACAAGAGGCCCATGGGCCACATCGCTCACCTGAGTAACTTTGGCCATGCTGTTCATTACCAGACTCCCCCCTTGTAATACCTATTGTGGCCCCACCCTCCCCCCAGGGCCATGATTTGAACAATTTAGAATCTACACTACCCCAGGATGCTTCCACATAAGTTTCAGTTTTTCTGGTCCAGTGGTTCTTGAGAAGATTTTTAAAGATTTTTCCTATATATTTCAATGTAAAACTTGCGATTCCCCCTATTGTGGCCCCGCCCTATCCCCTGGGTCATGATTTGAACAATTTAGAGTGTACACTACCCCAGGATGCTTCCACATAAGTTTCAGCTTTTCTGGCCCAGTGGTTCTTGAGAAGAAGATTTTTAAAGATTTTTCCTATATATTTCAATGTAAAACTTGGATTCCCTATTGTGGCCCCGCCCTACCCCCGGGGGTCATGATTTGAACAATTTAGAATCTACACTACCCCAGGATGCTTCCACATAAGTTTCAGCTTTTCTGGCCCAGTGGTTCTTGAGAAGAAGATTTTTAAAGATTTTTCCTATATATTTCAATGTAAAACTTGGATTCCCTATTGTGGCCCCGCCCTACCCCCGGGGGTCATGATTTGAACAATTTAGAATCTACACTACCCCAGGATGCTTCCACATAAGTTTCAGCTTTTCTGGCCCAGTGGTTCTTGAGAAGAAGATTTTTAAAGATTTTTCCTATATATTTCAATGTAAAACTTGGATTCCCTATTGTGGCCCCGCCCTAC